TAAATATTTTTCAAACGCTTTTTTCTCATTCAAATTTGCCAAAACTCTGATGTTATTTATTTTCAAAACTCGCTCTTTAAATTTGTTGTCATTCTCTGGCCCCGCGCGGTTTGCCACCCAAAAATGGCGGATAAGGCCTGGTCGCATAGCGTGAGAAAGGCTAATTGGACGCAACCAGTGAAACCATCATTTCATAGACCAATGGGCACTTATCAGAAAATGCTCCCAAGATCTCCTTAAATAGTGCTGGATTTATATTGTTAGCAGTTTCCAAAACTGAACAAGTGCAGATGTTCTGGTCACAAATTTTCTCCAGGACTCTCATTTCAGTTCTTATTGAAGCTTTCTGTTCCACCGTTAGTTTGTCAACATGGACATCTTGATTATTAATCTTTGTTATTTCTGCTTCATACATGTTGACAAGAGCAGTTATAAGCCCGTACCAAAAATGACAGCCTGACTGAGCGTGACTCTGGCCAGAATATGGCCATAAACTAATTAAACCAGCGTTAATGCAGCGATACAAAGCGAGTCATCCGTTTTGTCTCGCTGCTTATTGTGAGCGAGACATTTGTTTCGCTCGTTTATCGCCGAGAACATGGCCAGAGACAGCGTGACATAGCAAGAAAAATTGTCCCGTTTGAACGAGACATTTGTCACGCTGCGCTGCAAGCTAAATATGAAAGATAATTCAGCCTAACAGAGCAAGACAAGCGAGACAAATTTTCTTGCACAAATAAGAGGATTATGATATGCTGATGTGTGGGCGATAACTTGGCGATAATTAAGGGAGACAGAGCGTGACACTATATTTTAATTACTAAAATAATTAGTAAGGATTGATCGAATTATTCGCGAAGCAAAAAAAAGCAGTATCACAAAAAATGCATGCGTAATGACTAATCTATTACTATAGCTATATATATGAACATAGTCAAAAAGTAAATTTCTAATATATAGTCATGTTATAGAGATCCAGTCAAATTTAGTCACATTCAATCTTCTGCGGAAATTCACAAACATAAGCTGTTTGATCATCTGCTTTTTCGCCTAACAGCATATACAAACAATTTGTTAAAATGTCCCCAACATTAATCACCACGATATCGCTATCCTTGTAAGGCAAAACGCGATTGATGTGTACTTTCGGATTGTAACTCATACACAAAATAGGATGAGCGACTGCAAGATAAACTGGTTGATTCATTTCGAAATCGTATCTAATAAAGTACCGAACAATTGCGAAACGAAAATCGTTGTTGTCTTTGTATTTGACCACTGCGCAATTTCTTTTCTTCAAGCGTTTGTACGTCAAACCACAAATAACCGATTTGCTTGCGCTTATTTCAACCCTATTAAATGCCCAAAAGCGATTTGTTGGACATGCTACAATACAATACAATACAAAGCATTTATTTTCACACGATAAAATTACAGCATAGCTGATGTGGTCGTGTATCCTAATAATTAAAATATAGTACACAAGTATACTAATTAACCTAACTATATACATAATTAATTATTCTGTATTTCATGTTTAAAATGACCTAAATTAACTATAGCTCTTTGGTTATTTTCCAAGGAGTTCCATAAAACGGCAGCTTGATAAAAAATTGATTTTTTCAGATATTCAGATTTTGGCTTAGGTAGTAAAACTGTTTGTTTCCGTCTTAAGTTATAGTTACTTTTGTATTTAACTAAATACGGCAAAAGTAGTTCAGGCAAATGACCATAATAGCACTTATGTGCTAAAGTCAGTAACTTTTCAGAATAGATTTCTTTTAGTGATTTCCATTTTACTTTCCTGTAAACGTCTGCTGTCGGTGTTTGCCAGTCCATCCCATAGATGATTCTAGCAGCTCGTACGTGTATTCTTTCCAATTCGTCAAAGAGCACCGTTCCACATGATCCCCAAATGATCAAACCATAAGTAACTGAGGGCAGTAATACTTTATGGTAAAAATCCCCTTTGGCTTGGATAGGGAGAAAGTATAAAGATTTTAAAAGGTTAAGTTTCTGTACAAAAGACTTTATTAGTTTTTGAACATGGGCTTTCCACGTTAGTTTATTGTCAATTTCAATACCCAGACATCTTGATTTTTCAACCAGTTTAATACAGTGGTTTCCCAGTTTAATCGCTTGTAGTGGTCCTATAAAGTTGCTTCGACTTAATATCATGCATTCTGTTTTTCCTGGATGTGGTGTTAATAGGTTACTATTACACCAGTTTTGCATCGCAGATAAAACTTTATTTAGTGCTGAACAAACTTGATCATGGGTTGGCCCAATTACATACAGGGTAGTGTCATCTGCATACATGAAAATGACACCTTCATTATCATTGCAAATGTCTGGTAAATCGTTACAAAACAATGCAAACAAAATAGGGCCTAACACTGACCCCTGCGGCACCCCACATTTTACTGTCATTGGGTTTGATTTACAACCGTTTACAACCGTTATTTGAGCTCGATCTCTCAAGTAATCTTTAATCCAACACCATAAATCTCCTGATATACCAATACCTTGCAACTTTTGAAGTAATATCGTATGAGATATCGAGTCGAATGCTTTTTTAAAATCGACGAAGACGATTCCTACGACTTGATGGTTATCTAATGCTCTTCTCCAGTCTTCAGTCATCTTAATCAGCAACAACTCAGTGGAATGACCTTTCTTGTAAGCCCACTGATGTTGATTACTCAATTGATTTTCTGATACGTGAGTTGCAATTGTCGTGGCCACATTTGATTCCAAGATTTTTCCAGGCACACAAAGCAGGGAGATTGGACGATAGTTTTCTTTATCCGATTCGTCATCCTTTTTAAACAGTGGTTTTACATTGGCTGATTTCCAAATCAGCGGAACACGGTTTGACAAGATACTGCTAGAGTAAATTGACATTAAACTTGGTACTAAACTATTTCCAGCATATTTCAATAGCTTGGGGGCAACATTATCAGGCCCACTCGATTTATCAGTTTTTAACGCCTTCAGACTTTGTAAGATGGTATCACTAGATAATGTCATGTGCATTATTGTTGGCGTAATACGTGTTATATATCTAAAATGTTCCTGTTGGTTAAGCTCAGGAAATTCGCTTGTCAGTTTTTCTCCGACTGTGGAAAAGTACTCATTTAGTAAACTTGCCTTACCCTCGTTCGAGGTCTCCAATGTTCCGTCGGTTCTCCTTATACCTTGTATAAACTGTGCCTTTTGACTGTTATAAGTCTTCTTAATCAACTTCCAATACGCTTTGCAATCCTTTACTCTATCGAACTGCTCTGTATAGTATTTTGATTTACTGGATCTCACCTCCTGGGTTAGCATGTTTCTCAATTCCCGATATTTTCTCCATAGTTCTGGACTATTAGTTTGCCTAGCTTGCAGGAGGGTTTTATACCTTATATTCATTGCATGTCGTATTTGTGGCGTGATCCATGGAAGAGACTGACTACGTATCTTGATTTCTCTATAGGGTGCATGTTTGTCACAGATACTATTAAATATATTCAGCCATGCGCCATAGCAATCGTCAGGATCTTCAAAACATGAGCAAACTGACCATGGTGCTTCCTCTATGTCTTTAACAAATTTATCAATGTTAAAATGTTTATAACTCTGTGCTTTCACAATCTTAGGACGAGGTCTTTTTACTCTCATTTCCAGACTGGCGTATACTAACATATGATCAGAGACACCTAACTCTAACGTCTTTGTTTTTTTAACTAATTCTGCTGCTAGTAATAACCAGATCAATTAAAGTAGAGGTGTCTCTTGTTATTCTAGTGGGTTGCTTATAATCGTCGTATATTCAAATTGATCCAATATACTTTGCAGCTTCTTTCCACTTGTTCCCAAGATTCCGCTTTCGTCCGACATGTCACAATTAAAGTCTCCGACGAGTAAAACATTTCGATACTTCATCCACACTCTTTCCAACACTTTATTAAAGCGATCAAGGAATTCACAATCTGAAGGTGGTCTATAGAAAATTCCGATGATGAATGCACTTGAACCCACTGTTAGTTTTAACCATATCCCCTCAACATCGAGGACTTCCAAGGATTTTAAACGTGAACATCCAATATTGACATTGACGTAAACAAGACAGCCCCCAGCCAGCAGCTCCGGTATTACGGTCTCTCCTAAATATTTTATAGTTATCGATACCAAGTTGATTGTTGGAAATCTTGTTGTCTAGGTGAGTTTCTGTGATTGCCAGAAGGTCGAAGCGGCATACTTGTAAGAGGACCCTTAATTCTTCTACCTTGTTTCTTAGGCTTCTTATATTTATCTGGGCCACGCTGAATTTATTTCCGCCGCTTTGGATCTCTCTTGCAAAATCTAGCAGATAATCTGAATCTTGATTGAATGTGTTCTGCCAGCCTGGATTCAGTTCAACATCCCCTGAACGTATTAGCAGGATTTGTCTGGTTGCAGTTGAGTTCGAATAGTACGTTATACGGCTTTTTGAAAACGCAGTCTTAAATACTTTCCACCTACGTTTTAAAGACTCCAAGCGACTTGTTTTAAGTGTTGTTAAAAATATTATTATGTTCCGTTCATTGATTATTGACATAAGCTTTTGGTATGCAAATTCAGATGCCTTCCTGTCTAACTCAAAATCATCGAAGCGTCCGATTACGAAGTATCCGAATTCTCGCCGTTCCAGCTCGCATATTCTATCCTTGCAGCCTTGTTTTCTGATAGATTCATATATCCAAAGCGAACTATCTTCTTTAAATCCTGTCTTGCCCGGCGCCTTCACAGTCAATTCCATCCGAACTTCAATCGACAGGGCTGGCCGCCGCCAACCACACGACATCCACTCGCCAACGTTTAAGGAACTTGAACTTGAAGCAATTCCACTGTTGTAACGAGTGTTGCAGCACACACTTAATCCATCTGCTTGACACTTGTATTTACTTGGACATACTCCGACGTTTTTTCCAAAATCGTACATCAACGGCCAAATATTTAGGAACAATATAGAGAGCTTACAAAGGCTTCCTATCGCCGCCATGACAAACTTGAGTGGTGCGAGATCTGTCAGAGAATGCTGAACCCATAAAAGTACTCAAAGCATTAAATTCCGCATCTGTCAACACTGTTTGATAGGTAGAGCTGATTGCATATATATGGGGAAGAATTTCTGTTCTAAACTTTGATTTAGAGGAACGCGTTAAAGTTAAGTAAAGGGATTCCATCTCTGAATCTTTGGGCAAACATTTGCGCCGGAGTTCAGGCAACTTTTGGGTTAATGTGACTGCAGAAAAAATTTGTTTATCAATACATTGTGTGCCATGAATAAGTTTCAAAATGAATCCATTTTTATCCTCAAATGTGAAACAGCTGTGCGTGTAGAGCGGTCCGAGTTCCTTTACATCGTCAGCTAAATGCAGTAACTGGTGAACATTCAGCGTGTAAAAACGTTCTGCATAAAGAAGTGAAAACGATTTGCAAAAATTGTAAATTAGTCTTTCGGCTTCATTAAGTTCGGCGTCCGATATTGAATCTTTTAGAAGTATGTAAAGAGCTTGGACGAATAGGGCATAGTGATTAAAATAATTATCTGGTAAAATGCCATACAAAACAGGAAGGCCATAATATAAAAGAAACGAGCGAAGTTCACTTGCTTTCCAATATTTTACATGCTCTTCTATCGATCGTGGAAGTCGTTTAATTTCAGACGTGGGTGAAATTTGACGCAATCTAGCGTCTACTAGTTGTACTTTCGAAGATATACTGAACTGCGTTTTCGAGAATTTAGAGCTGAACCAAAGTGTCAAAAGTAATTTTTGCGTACCCAAAAGAACGCCATGCATGTAATCAATGGCGATACTATTTACCAAGTCGAAGTGACTAAGCTGTGAAAGCCAGGATGGGCCCTTTACTCCGTTAACCGTGTACCGTGCGACTCCGTCGTTTGCACGAGCTAATGCCTCCATGGAATCATGCCTAACACTCCCGTCAGTTCTCAGTGGACCTTTTGGGTTATTACTGTTGTAAGGGAAACATCTACAATGCCCACCTGCACCAGTTGCGACTGTTTCGCCTGGTTGCAAGCATTTCCAACAACCATTTTCACCGTTAAACTGCATGCCATTACACAAAAGGCATCGAGCAGGTAAATCACACGAACAAGCTAAAAGGATCCCTTTGCTAAGAAATTTCCCTTTAATTTTTGACTCAAATTCAACACCGCTTTCGAGTTTTTTTAGAGATTGTATATGAGGTTTAAGGAAAGTCCATAAAGCCGGTTTTTTTTTCACTGAACCATAAACCGGCAAAAATCATATTCTCGCTTGCCATTCTTTTAGTATAAGGAAGCTCATTAATAATGAGATAAAGGGGCCAAATCGACACTTTGGAAGATTTGAATACAGGGACACCGTCAGTGTTCAAAAGAAAAGACAGATTATCTGGACATGAAAGAATTCCCGCGTTTACAAATTGTTTATAAAGTGTGCCATCATAAATATCTTCGATATGATTCGCATTCTTTTTCTTGCGCTGAAATCTATGTTGGATATTGTTATGAAAATGATCCCTTTTGAAGAATGTTCTTAGTTGCTCGACAATGGGAAATTCAATAAAGTAAGCCTTTGCCTGCTGATCGGACAGTTCTCTCATACAACCTGGGTTCGGACAGTTTTTTTCTGTTTGTTTAACATAAGAAAGGCAGGAGTTGCAATAGAAATGACGTATAAGTGGGCATTTTAGATTACTGAAAAAATTTTTGAAACTCAGCAGGGTTTTAGGTAGTACGTGGCCACATGGAAGCATAAGGGAAACTAATTTTAGGAGATGGACAATAGCATCACCAGTTATATCGTAACGGATTGTAAAAAGGGATAACAAGACCATTACTGCTCCAACGGTGACTTTTGCCCCTGGATACAATGGTTGTTCTTCGTTAGAAGGATTATTCTCTTGTTGTGGAGCCTCGTTTTCATCAACGCTTGAAAAACTTGCTAAGTGTACATGGTCAGTTTCATGAAGTGTTAAACCTTCATCCATATCCACATTATCGTATTCACCCGAATCCCAGTCCCGCAACTCTCGTTCTTCGGTTTCTGAGATAAGGTTATCACAAACTTCTGACCACATAGAATCTAACTCTACATCCACCCAACCATAATTTCTTACTGGATCGATATCTTCATGGACATTCGGTAGGCTTTCAAATATTGTATCAAAGGGAACCGTTTCCTGATTACTTTTATGCAGTTCAGTTACGAAACACACATTCTCGTTTTTTTCCTGTTCCTGGTTAACATTTTGCTTTTCACTTTCAGTTGAACTTACTCTACTAACTTCGGACGTGTCAGCTATAGGATTTGCGTGAGGTTCTGGGTTCAATGGTACGTTAATACTAACAAACGAATCGGAGTCATCATCAGATATCTTAATTCTCTTTGGCATTGTAGTAGAATCAAGGGGCATATATATTGTGATTTCTAAGCTATCAAACAAAAAATGAATAAGGGTTAGAATAATTTGGTACAGGTGATGAAAATCTTTACATAAAGCAAATCTTTACATAGAGAAGTTTGTGAAGAACTTGAATATATAGACATCCATGTCGACTAAAAACGTTCGAATACTTTGATTTAGAAATTTAAGCTATACTGATGAAAGACGATACACAAACGTGCATGCGGTAATTTAGGATTATAATTTTGATGCTGGAAAGAAATTTCTTAATGAAACATCGATAACAACCAGATGTCCCTTTCAAATATTTGTGACGTTTTTCCCTGATGTTTTCGTTTTTAATTACAAGTCAGTAAAAGCGCGCAATTTGAATTGGTTTTCTTCGAGGCATCACGCATTGCTTGATAGCTGCAACTAAAACTAAGGTTTGCTTTAACGCTCGTTTCCCATTGAAATTACTTGGTATTCACATCATGGCGGAAAACGTTTATGCTTGCATTTTCTTCAACAGTGATAAAACTGTTAGTGTAATACCAAAATCGCGTTGTATTTTGCGCGATTCATTTGAAATCAGGGGAGACGTCGAGGTGAAATGGCGAACCCCAGGAAAGCAACAAATTTTCATTGGGACAATTTTACAAGTATCATCTAAACGTAAGTACATGCAAAGGGTATTTTGTGTAATCCTACATGTTATACACAGTAAACTTGCATTGAAATGTCAGTTTTTGTAGACATGAATAAATGCATGCAGTTAGATTTTTGGCGCGCATTTTCAAAATGTACAGAAGTTATAAGGTGCAACGTGGTTTTAAACGTTGCCCTCTGAACAGTGATTGATAATAGTAATTCGGCACTAAGCTGAACTTCATATATAAGCATGCCCCATTGTATTATAATTGTATAAATTAATATACATGCATCTTTTACATACAGACGACAAACATCTGCTGGAAGAATACTCCACGCAATTACACCTCTTCATCACGAGTAGCATAAATGAAGAGAAAGGTCTCTCGTTGGACGAGCTGATTGGGCTTTGGAAGCCAAACGTCTCTAGCACAAAGCCGTCAAATGAAACGGGTATCAAAAGGAAACGTGAGGGCGCCCAAAGCAGAGCAGGAAAGATAAAGACAAAGACACCAAACCAGAAGAAATTGCTTGATTCGTCCGCGTTATTGGCAGGGCAGGAAATAATTCGGAACTCTCCATTTGGAAATGTATTCCCAACATCGACATGCAGCGGTAACAGTTCCAAGCATGATTCGTCGAGTCAGATTCCACAAAACCAGCCGTCCCCTGGAATCAGCCATTTGCGTACGTACAGGGAAATGCATGAGTTGCAGGTACCCAGAAATGTTTCGGAAGAGTCTGAAGCCGGGATTGTATGGCGTCCACTAGCTTCGTCGTCAAGACCAAAAGACAACGGCCAGTACATGCCCTCTGTTAACAGCGAGAGTCTTATCGAAATGAAACGCACCGTGGGAGAACAAAATGGGAATAGATCTACAGGAAGCGTCGTCAGAACAGCATTAACTATGCTCGATGATTTCGGCACCGAAGTGGATAATGCTACTGGCATCTATTCACCCATTAATTCTGCATCTAAGCTGGACGACTCTGGTATATGTCTGGCGGATTTTGAAGAGCCAGAGGCAGAGACTGGAGTGTTTGAGATATAAGCAGACTTAGCTCTTTTAAGAGATAAAGTGGCTAAATTGGAAAAGGAAAACGAATCACTGAAGCGCCAACTTGAAACTTCACAATCAATAGGTATATGTTAATGTTATAGTGATAAGCTGGCGTTGCATTTAAACCTTCTGAGTCCAATATCAACGGAAAAGAGATCCACAAACGCATTCTTACTATTCCTATTATTACTATTCATTTAGTACCATCACCAGAAGTTATCGCTTACATGCGAAATATAGTCAATATAGCTGATGGTTCTGATGGTCAGTTGGTACAACAATCTGTGCCTGCGGAGCAGACGTCATATTGCGTTTCAACAAATTTCAAACCGACTGCCGAGGTAATCTTTTTTATTCCATTTATTATTAAATGTATTATTTGTTCCATGCTTTGATTATTTTTGTTCTCTTATTTGTATATATAGGGAAATGTTCGTCTTCTAAAAGGATTTGACGTATTTGTCCAGGGTAACAAACTGCGTCAAGTTATTGGGGAAGCAAATGTAAATGGTCCGCAATATCTTTTACGAAAGCTAATTTCGTTGGTGTTCACAGATATTGAATTAGCGTCGTCTTGTGGTCAAGGCATAGGGTCATCGCAGGGAAAAACTACGGCACTGGACGAAACGCGAAGACCACTAAATCCTGAAAAAGTGCGCGTCATAAAAGGTATGTTTGTCAAAATATTACATAAATGATACGCCAAATTAATGTGAAAAGAAACATAGCGCGCGCAATCGTGAAACACATGTGTTTCATGACATCTTTCATTTCATTTCAAAACATGCATGTTTTGTTGAAACATATAATTGTTAATTATTATTTTCAAAAACTTACCGGTTACGTGCGTAAATTTCTGTTTTCAGATTATGTGTTGTCTTTCTGTGTGGCAAATAACAAAACGGCGCTAACGGTGAAGCAAATGTACGAGGCTTTTACCCAAAGGGTCAGCTATGCTCGCCGCAAACGACAGAGGAATGAGGGAAAGTTAAATGTGCTCGAAGCGTGATACTTCTGGCACAGACAGGAAGCCAAAAAACTGTATGTACAATTTCAGTCTTCAGATACACGCGAACAAACTTTTAGCCTTGAAAAGTGGCGTTAATTTGCTAAACGTTGTATAGCATATTTACTAGTTTTTTATATAGTTCTTGTAATATATATATATATATGATACAGTTTTTTATCCTAAATTTGCCAAAGCTTTTTATTGCATTGCATGTGATGTGTAAAAATAAATTTACTTATCGCCTCACTTGCCTTGTTGAGAGATGTTAATTTCCGGCGAAATACCGACCAATTACGAGCGATACATATGGGCTGATTTGTCAGGCCATAATCTAGCCAAACTCGGGCCTGACAATGCTATGGCCTGACAAAAGTACCGTTTCATTTTGGCTTAAAATGTCACGTTTTGGAAACGCTATGGTCTCGCTATGTACCGTCACGCTCTGTCTCGCTCATGTCTTGCCCAATTCTATGGCCTGAATATCGCCCGTGTCACGTTATGATTTTTGGTACGGGAGAGTCTCTCTTTTACTGTTCTCCTTGTAATACTCAGCCAACAGTATGGTAATGTCACCCCCTTCATTGTGATTGGAAACAAGTCTTCTCCATATGTCATTCACAATTTTAGCAGAAGCCTTTACACTCTCAATAAGGCTTGACATATGATCTACTGCAACACAAATAATCAAAATATTATGTAACATGAAAAGATGAGAAAACACCATTTTAGTCCGTATTGAAATATATATTAAATTAGAAAAGTAATACACATTTTGTTCCTTCATGAGCTACTTCATTGACACCTAAATTGT